AAACTGAGGTGTGGCTTATTCTAAAAGAGCAGATAGGGACTTCCTGGGTGGTCCAGTGGTTAAGAATCCACCTTGCAACGCAGGGGACACGGGTTCGATCCCTGGTTGGGGAACTAAGATCCCACGTGCCACGGGGCAACTAAGCCCGCGTGCCACAACTAGAGAGCAGCCCGCGCGCCGCAATGAAGATCCTGTGTGCCACAACTAAGACCCGACGCGGCCAAATAAATAAATAAATAAAATGTTAAATAAATAAAAATAAAAGAGCAGACAATCTAAAAGTCATTTCTGTTTGAGCTGGGGGTGCCCTGTTGCTGCTTTACAGATACAAAGGTACTGTCCTAGTCATATTTGGTCTAACTCATGCCCAAGAGAAGATGCTGCTAGGTTCTCAGAAAGCACCATGCGTACACACACCAATCCAGAAATGACTCGGCTGCCACTGATGCGGCAGATGGTAATTAGCCCAAGGCACTCAGCCGGGAAATTTGACTCTGCAGGACCCAGAGGAGAGGGAATGACTTAAAAGCCTCTTCTCCCTCCGGGCTAGGGCTTGCTCCTTTGAGCCGTTTCTAGGACACGGAGAGAGCAGCCCGGGTGCTTGAGCCTCCCCAACTGAAGACGTAAAAACTGACTCACAGTGGATTTGCAGAAACCTTTATAAAGAGAAATCATTCCATCCCACAGAAAGGGAAAACAGGCCTGGAGCAGAGCGGAGGAATGGGGTGGGGTCAGAACGAAAGTCCTTAAGCTGGGCAGGCCCAGCCTTCGGTATGCATGCCTGAGGTACAGGACATGCTGCCAGGAGGAAGGTGGGTGGTACCCCAGTCCGAGCTCAGGACACCAGGCCGAGATGAGTTCACTTAAGCTGGTAAAAGGGCCCATCTTTGTTCCAGGGCCGAGGGTAGGAAGCAAGGGTATCTACGTTGCCCTTCCAGGAGCTCTCCCAGGGGCTGTGGACTGTACCTATCAGCCTGGCAGATCAGCGGGGGAGAGAGCAGGAAGCAGTGGCCGGCCCAGAACCTGTAGGGAAGCAGAGAGATGGTGAGGAGGGCAGGTCAGACCAGTGCCTCAGGCTTAAGTGTCCCACGATTGCCCTGGCAGGCTTCTCAGGACGCAGGTACGGGTTCAGATCTGAATCTGAAGCGGGGCCTGAGGCTCTGCACTGCCGGCCAGTTCCCAGTGGTTTTGTTGACACTGCTGGCCCGTGGACCACGATTGGAGCTGTATGGGCTGCTGGACAGTGCCAAAGAGAAAACCCACATCTCCCTCTTCCCCCCACTAACCACAGCCTCCACCCAGCCCAGGCTGGAGAGAAGCCCAGCCTAAGAAGAGAGAGCACAAGGGGACCTTGGGAGTCCCAAGCCAAGCTTTTCTCCAAGAACCCGTCCCTGCCCCAGGTCTATATTCTTCCCCTTTTGCTTGGCAAGGCTCTCTCTCTCCCAACCCAAACCCCCAGAGGTGAGAAGCGCCACCTGGGGACCTCCCATCCTCCCTCACCTGCCTTCTAGGCTGTGTTCAGAGACGGGTCCTTGAGGTCCTGGCAGCCAGGAACCCAGTCTTATGTGCCCCGAAGGCTGTGATGAAGATGTTGATGACGACGGTGATGAAGACCAAGGTGGTGGCTGCATTGTTGAGCTGGTTTAGTCGCCACTGCTTTTCTACCTCGTTGAGGTTCAGTCGAGCTGTGGAGAAGGGAGAGTGGCAGGTAAGTGTCTGCGGGGGGGGGGGGGGGCGGTGGCCACAGCCTGGAGCTTCCCCCACCACAGCTGCTAGAGTCCAGAGAAAGTCTGGTCCCTCAGAGATCAAGGGAGGTGGCAGCCATTGTGCTGAGATGCTTTCTCCCCAACTGACCAGTGTGGGCTATCCATGTGGTACTCAATAGAGCCGGGATTTGCAAAATTATACTGGGTCTTCTAAGAGTAGGGATGCACGCTCGCACAAGAGGCTCAAAGGAACGCTGCTATGAGTTAGTGAGCATAGTCATTCAGCAGGTATTATGGAGTGGCCACTAGATGGGATACCAGGAGGTGGGACAGGGTGCCTGCCTGCACTGTGTGGTTGTTACTTGGGCATTTGAAGGTGCACAGGGCTAACAGCAGCTTATGGCTGAGAAGGTGGCCTGTGCAAATGCAGGGTGTGACAGGGAGGCACTTAGGCTTTTCTTCCCACCAGGGGGGCACCCCCCCACCCCGAGGCCAACTCTAGGCCTTGCCTCCTCACCAATGACCATGAGGAGGATTCCAATGACCACCTGCAGAAGCAGAGACATGCTGATGAGGGTGACGAGGGTGGTGTAGTGATGAGAGGACGGCCCCTGCTCCAGCACCGCTTTCAGCTGTGTGGCGTTAGACACAAAGAGGGCCACGTCCAGCATGCTCTCTGCCACGCTCTTCTTGGTGGCATAGTGGTTCAGGTTGATGGGTGGGCTCCTCCTGGGGCTGGCGTTCCCAGGCTGTAGGGGACAAAACACAGGCTTACCTGGGAGGCTCCGGAAGGAAAGTGGTTGAGAGGCTGGGAAGAGGAGTGGAGTTTTAAAGGTCTCCCCTCACCAGGTGGGAAACGAGGGCAGGTAACCCCCTTCTCGGTGCTGTGGTCTGAAAGAATAAAGAGGTGGGCTAGAAAACCCTTATGTGCGTTTGAACTTGGAAATGATGCTGTGTTGTAATTTCTATTTCATGGAGGGTCACTCTGCCTCACACCTTCACACATCGAAAGGGAGGAGCCTGGGCTGCTTGTAAACGAGCAGTCCTCATTTTATTCGCCATCTTACCTGGGCCAGGCCTGGCCTTGGGCGGCTCTTTTCCTACAAGAGGAAAGCGTCTCAGCTCTGAAGGCCTGGCTGGAGAAGGAAAAGGCACCTCTTCTTCCAGAACCATGTGGCCCCGAGGTGGGGTGCAGAGCTTCACAAATGGAACAGGAGCTGCCTGTGGGTCCCACCCGGCCCTTGTGGGGAGCTCTGGAGCCGCAGCCCTGCTCGGGCACACGTCTGTGTGCCCACACGCACGCACACAGCAAAACATACTGGCCAAAGGCTCTTCGTCTGTTTTTGTATTACTTTTCGGTGAGAATTTATTGAAGCATAATTTACATTTGATTTGATTTTGAAATATTAAAACGAAGCTCTTCTTCTTGAGAAGTTACTCACTCTAAAAGAGAGAGTCACGATGCAGTGCCTGTGGTGTGGGCCTCTGCGCTGGACCAAGAAATTCAGACTGGATGGTGTAGGCAACCCTGCCGTCACTCAAGAGAACCTGGGTAGGTTTTAGGGAGATTCATTTCGTATATGGCGCCTGGGATGCAGCGGCTCATGAGGGCCCAGAGACAGGGAGATCCGGTGAAAGGTTATGGTCTTGATTTAGGGTCAGGCTGTCAAGGAAATGAAGGAGAATGGGGGTGAGAAAGGAGAGGAAGGGAGGTCTCGGAGATGCTACAGCCTGGATGGGATGTCTGTTGAGCAGGCGGGTGCGCGGGTGGTTGGATGGGGCAGGTCTCAGAGAGCTCTGGTTGCCCCTTTTGGATTCTGGGCTTGTCTGGAGCTGGCTGGCCTGGTTGGTTAGGGCCAGGGATCCCAAGGCCAATACCCCGCGAAGCCCACACTGTCCCTGTCGGCCCTGAGGCTACAGCCTGTGGTCCTAGCTTACCTGGCAAATCTTTGTTCTGGGTATAAAATGCCCTCACGACGCAGAGGCCTCTGCCGGGCACAGCTGTGAGCTGGGGCTTCTTTGCCGCCGTTCCCCCCCCCCCCCCTCCAGTTTGCCCATAGCGACGAGCTTTGCACTTTCTCCTCCTTCCCAACCCGGCTCTAAGTCCAAGACCTGATAAACTGTGAAATTACTAAGAAAGCTTCAGGGAGAGACCTCCTTCTCTGAAAAGTTGCATATGAACAGTGGGCGAAACCATAAATCCCAACCTCTAGTGGTGTTTCGTTGTTTTGTTTTGTTTTTGAGCATCAAGCAGATAGGGAGTGGAGGCAGGGGTAGCAGAGGTGGGTATCACGGGCACAGGTCTTCCAGAGCCTCAGCAACGATGGCTGTTCCTAGGTTTTAATAGACCTGATGGGCGTTGGTTGTTAAGTGATCTCAGGGCCATCGCTTCACAGAGGATGTGGGTTCCCAGGAGCACAGGAGGGGACAGGCCTCATCCTCTCCTCTTTAATTTAGGGCCTGCTTTTATTTTGATTTGCGCCAGTTCAGGCTGCTTTATAACTGAGGGTGGTGGCAGGAAGCTCTCAGGGGCCCCTCTAAGTCCCCCAGGGCACCGTTCTCCCGTGTCCGCGTGGTGGCGCTCAGCGCCCGGAGGAGCAACTTTGGTACCAGCAGTGCGGCGTTGGGGGGTGGAGTGGCGAGGGATCCTCGGACAGGACAGGACTGGTGTGAAACCTGGACCCCGTGGAGGCCCGGGACGGGAGCCTGTTCACAGGTCTGCACAGGCCGGCCTAAAACCCACCAAGCGTGTCAAATGAGGGTGCAAATGATCCAGTCCTGATATTGGGGACTGCGTGGGTGGGTCACCTTGCAGGGTGGGGACTTGGTTAGAAGACAGATGGCTGGGAGACCCTGGGAGACGCTGCCTAGAAAGGGGTCGCCCCGTGGCAGTATCTTTAAAAAGCAGGAAAAGGGTTTTCTTAATCCCCCTGAGCCACTTTAGGTGCAGCCCTGCCCTGAGGCAGAGGGATGATTGAAATGACCTGAGGGCCCTCCCTTATGGCCTGAGGATTCGATTGGATGAACCCCCGAATCCTGCAGGACGCCCCACTTTCTGCCGACAGCCCGGAGCCCAGGAGCGACCCCAGGAGGAGTGGGAGTGGGAGTGGGGGCGGGGGCGGGGGGAGGCCGCCGGGCGCGCTTCTGCCTCGGGCGCTGGCCCTTTAAGGTCGGCGTCCCGGGAACAAAGGCCCGGCCTGAGAACCGGGCTGAGTCACTTCAGTTCCTCCGCCCGCGCCCTCCCCACCCGGCCCCTTCCCACCCGGGACTACCGGCGGCTCCGCGGGGTCCGCCCCTTGCGCCCGGGGGTCTGCGGAGCGCGCGGGCGCGGTGGGCGCGGGACTCCCCAGACCCCTGTCGTCGTCTGACTCCTCCGGGCGTGGGCCGGGGGCTGGCGGCCGGGACCCCCGGCTCTGGGCCTCCCAGTTTGGGCCTCAGTTTCCACATCCACAAACCGGGGAGATCCCTTTCTGGAGGCCGAGTGAGCGGGCTCCTCCCCAAAGCAAAGAGAACTCCGAGCCTCGTACTCTTCCCGTCTGAAGTGCGTCTTGCCGTGACCCCTGACCCTCTGTGTCTACGTCTCAGGCCCCCACCCCCGCCCTGCACTGTTCCTCCAGGACAGCGGGGCGCCAAGCCTGAGACGAGCCCCTGCTGGAGATGCGCGCGCCCCTCAACCTGCCCAGCCGCGGCAGCTGAGCGCCTAGGCAGGGCCCTGCTGATAGGAAGTCCGGGCTCCGGGGTTCTGGGCGGCAAGAGCACCTGGGTTTGGAGATGGGGTGGGATGGCACCACAGACCCCTCCCTGGGTCCCCCGAGTCGCCCCCCGCCTGGCCCTGCCCCAGCACAGCCGTTTCCCTCCCTTTTTCTCGCCCTGCCCTCCGTCCCGCTCAGACTTCCCTGTTCCCGGGCTCTGGCTTGCTTGCCAAGTCCCAGCTCCCAAGGCTGGTGTGGATTCCATCCCTTGAAGTCATGGATTGCTCCATTGTTCTGCCAGACAATTATTTATCCCTTAATCCTTGCTGGCCTATATTTTTGTTTCTTGACAAAACTTGAGTTGGATGGGAAAGGAATGCCTCTTTTAAGAGAAAAGTAAACACAATTTTATATTGTTTATTGACCCTAAGGTCCGTGGGAACACCAGCTCCAACAGATCATTCTGCCCTTTCGTGGAAACAAGATTCCAGGGATGTTCTTCCAAAGGGGTAAGTAACTGTCCTACCAAAAAGCCACGGGATCCACTGCTCAGAGTGTTTAGGACCTGGAGCCCGAGGCAGGAGTGAGGGCGCTGTGGTTGGAAGGCCCAGGGGTGGGGATCTGCCGCAGCCCAGAGGGAACCACAGAAGTCACGGCAGGTACGAATCCTGCTCCTGCAACAAGCTGGCTGTGTGCCTGTTCCCATCACCAGGTTCCCTTTCTTATCTGCGAGATGAGGGAGGTGGGATAAATGATTTCTTGGCTCCCTTCCAACCCAGAGCCCTCTAGGAGCGGGGAAGCCCCCTCCTCTGCCTGTAGTCTCAGGGGCCGAGGACATGGCTTCCGAGAGGCAGAGGCCATGAGTCACTTGCCCTCGGCAGCTCCAGGGCAGGGGTGACCCTCCAGTGAGTCATTCCTGTCAGCCCTGAGAAAAGCCATATGGCAGCTTCCCCTCGTATCAGCTCAAACTCAGGGCATTAGACAAAATCGGCCCAGAGGAGCCGTGGGCTGTCGGCCCCTCTGTCAAAATGCCCGACTCCCCAGAAAAACCACCTGAAAGGAGACAGTGAAGAGCCGGCCTTTGGAGGGCTGGTTTCACAAAAGGGAAGGGCAGATCCCAGCCCAGGAAGAGCGAGCGATTGGCTCAGATACATGGATTTGAGTGACCTACTGTGCCGATTTGCCTGAGATCCCTGATTCTCTGTCAGGATTAAGTGTGAAAGGGTGCCCAGGTCTGTCATACTGCAGACACACGCGGGCCCCAGAACACTGGGAATGATGGCAGTTCCCACTTACAGATTACAGACCTTGTGCCTGACACACAGCTAAACACGGGACGTAAGTCATCTTATGCAGTCCCCACACAGCCCTGTAAAGTTGGTGAGGGCATCCTTCTCGTAGCTGAAAAAACAGAGCCTCAGAGGGCCTAAGTAACTTGTCCCACAGCACAGTTTTTATCCCAGTTCTCTATATGCCAGAGCCTCTAATTTTAACCCCTACTCTATGACCTCCCAGAAGTTGAAGATAGACTCCCTGCCTCCAAGGAGTTTAGGCTCTAAAGATAGACTTATGTGGCCTCAGATGAAAGAAGACCAAATGGACACTTGCCCAGAGGAGGTATAACACCCCTCCTGGGGTGGCACTTACGCTGGGCTTTCCTGAATCTACAGGGGGGCTGTCTCCTGAGCCCCTGCCCCACTGCGGCAGAAAGGGCCCTACACCCATAGTCAAAAGGCTTGAGTTCAAACTGGTAAGAGGTGACCCGGGCAGCTGGAAGAATAGGGTTGACAGAGAAGCTTTCATCCGGACATTTTGAATTTTGACTCATGTAAATGTTTGAACTATCTAAAAATAAATAGTAAATAAATAAATAAATAAATAAAACAGAAATGAATATGCACCCCAAAAGGCCAGTGGTTCATATAAAGCAGAATTTATAACTTCAGCTCACCTAGGCCTTAGCTTCTCCATGTGTGAAATGGGAATAATATGCCCTGTTTAGCCCAAAGTGCTGTTAAAAAGATCAGCGAGGTGATGTGGGTGAATGTGCTGTGAAAGCTGTGAAGCCTTAGAACAAGGATGAGGTGAGAGAGAAAACTCTCCTACTCAGGACCACACTCCCACCTGTGGGCCTAGAGGCATTTAAGTACTAGGTGCTGACTCAGCCCGACCCAGCCCACATTCCGAAGGTTTGTCTTCTCAGCAGCGCCCCTGGCCTTTGAAACCCTTCTCTACCCATCCGGGAACCTGTCTCCTCGCCTGTCACCTGGGGGACGCTCCCCTTCAAGCTGCTCTAGGCCCATCTCCCAGGGAGGGAAGTTCTCAGACAAGCCCACCTACACTGGGTCCCCACTGTCCCTGCTGTGCAGACCCCCCCAGCTGGCTTCCACCTGTGTCTCCAGCTGGTGTCCTGCCCCTCTGCCCTCCCTGGAGGGGCCGAGGGCTCACCCCCCTTACTGGGCCGTACCGCATGACTCACTGTTCCCTGAACACGTCCCAGCCTTCCACCTGCTCCTGCCCCCTCCAGGACTAAAGGCCTTTCTTCCCCGTGCCCCCTGGGAGGCCGGCCCTCCCTTCTAGACCCTGGGCTGTGTTCGGAGCCCTCCAGGTGGCCCCTCTAGCCACCTGCTTTCCTGTGGAGAATCCATCTTCCGTATTCCTGGGTCTCTACGGTGCCAGACTCAGTGATTTGCCCACATTAAATGCACAGTAAACGATCACAGCATTGAATTTTTTATATGAAAGAGTTACTTCAAAGAGTTTTTTTGAAAAAGACCAAAGAATGGATCTCTGAGGGTGGGATTTCAGGCCCAAGGACTGGTGGGTGAGGAGCATGCTGTTTGGACAGTGAATCTGTGCCCCTGGTCCAGGGAGAGCCCTTTTTCCCCGGGTATCCTGCCTCGGAACCAGTGACTCAGGCCGGCTGCTGCCACTGGTCTTCAGGCCAAAGCCTGCCAAGGCCCAGACCCCTGAGGCACTCAGCCTGCAGCGTTCCCGTGCCAAGAGCAATGGGTCTCGCCCTTAAACGTCAACAGGCTCTGATCCACCGTGGATGGGGTGTCTGCGTGCTGTTCCTGTCATAACACCAAACTGGCCCAGAAATCTCCTCTGAGCCCTGGGCGCAGTCTTGCAAGGCGCCAGCCCTGCCCCAGGTGCACACGGTTGCGTGGGCCCTGGGGCAGCCTGGCCTGGCCAGGGGCCCCAGGGATTTTGATCCCCCTGTGAGTCCAGAGGTGACAGGCTTTCTCTCTGACAAAAGGGGGCCGTGGACACACGGGAGCAGAGTGGGCAGGCAGGGATGGGAAGGCGCGGGGGCTGTGATAGGAACCCCGTGGGGCTGCTTCCTTTTTCTTAGGCAGCATTTTCCACCTCCCCTGCGAGAGGTCACCTTGTCAGCCATCTGGGTCAGGGTCCAAAGTTAATTGTGGATTTGCCACATAGAAATTTCCATAGAATTGGAAAACGAGTTCTTTCCAAATTAGCACATTGCTCTGGGGCTTCCAGATCCATCCGGCACTTTGCTCCGGGCTTTGGGGTTCTCAGCAGCATCCCGCAAGCCCGCCTGACCCATCTCTGCTCATGGTAATCCTACCCATCCTTCAAGGGCCATCAAACTGAGCCAAAATTCAAGCAATAATAACTAAATACTGAGAATGCTGTATGCCAGGCATGACCCCACGAAGTTGGTTTTTTTGTTTGTTTGGGGATTTTTTTGGCCACACCGAGAAACTTGCAGGATCTTAGTTCCCCGACCAGGAATTGAACCCGGGCCCTCAGCAGTGAAAGCCCAGAGTCCTAACCGCTGGACCGCCAGGGAATTCCTGTGAAGTGGATATTAAGAGTCCCATTTTACAAGCAAAGACATTGAGGCTCAAAGAGATTAACTGCCCAAAGTCACCAGACACTGCGGGATGGTCCCAGCTCCCAAATCCTACACCTGAGTTCTCCCTTCTCTAGACCAGTGGTTCTCAAAGTATGGTCCCTAAAGCAGCAACTGCAGCATCACCTGGGAACTTGTTGGAAATGCAGATTCTCAGATTCTACCCTAGACCTGCTGAATCAGAAACTCGGGGTGGTACCCAGCCCTCTGTGTTTTAACAAGCCTTCAGGGGAGTCTGATGCACCTCAAGTGTGAGGGCCATTGGTCTACATTGCACTGCCACACTGAGCTCGTTACCAACGCCTCACATGCTTACCATCTTCTAAGCTCCGTGCTAGACACTTCCATCGACTGTCACTGAGTTCTTTTAACAACACCTGTTTTACAGATGAGAAGGTCAAGGCTTAGGACAGTTCCGTACTTTTGCCTGGGATCACCCAGCTGTTGAAAGTAGAGTTGGGATTTGAACCCAGGCAGGCTGTGGAGCCTGTGTCCTTTTTTTTTTTTTTTTTTCTGGCCGTGCCACACAGTATATAGGATCTTAGTTCCCCAACCAGGGATCAAACCCAAACCCCCGCAGTAGAAGCAGAGTCTTAACCACTGGACCACCAGGGAAGTTCCAAAGAGCCTTTGTCCTTAACCATCACAGTCTTTAGTCCCTGGAAGCGTAGGTCCTGAAACCCCTCAGAGGTGGACCCTGAAGGATGCAGAGGGCATCTCTCCAGACCTCCCCACTGAATGGCGAATAAAACCAATTTATTCGTTTGGCCCCAGCCGCACATGCCAGCAGCTCCCGTCCCCAGTGCCGGGTCATGCCCACCACGTGCCTGTTTACAGGCCCTGACACGTTTATCCTTAGACCCTCTTCATGTCTTCACTCAAACATTTACTGAGCCTTCCTTGGTTTTGTAGAACCTTAGATTTTGCGGCGGAACCTGTGTCCAGATAGGAAGCCTACACACGGGTAAGTGAAAACGACTCTCGGAACAATTCATCGTAAAGCAAAATATCAACATTCCACGTGATGGTGCGTGTGAGTTTTGTACGTTCCCACGAGAGGATGTGTTTGCAAAAGGCGAGCATTACTTCCTTGGAACCTCGGGCAATTAGAATGAGAAGCAGTGAGCGTTGTGCCGACAGTCCCTGGCTCCAGTCCAGGGGAGCACACCTCATCGGGAGATCACATCTGTCACGGAGATGGGAAAAGGGAAGGTGGTGAACTTCCCACCCCACCCAGCCGTGCGCAGACCTGCCAACATCCTGTGTGTTCTCCGTTCCTAGCATGTGCTGGGCAGCGAGGACACCACGAGATCGCCGCCTTCCCGACACCCTGTTCCCCTAATCCCCTAAAATGCCAAGGACTAGTAGAGCACCAAGTGCATAAAGGGGGAAGCATAAGGGAGATAAAAAGACCTCTTCAGTCCCACCCCAGTAGATAAGCTTGACGGAAACAAGGACTTTATCCGTCTTGCTCATGGCTGTATCCCAGAGCCCGGCACCTAGCCTGACGAGCCAACGATGGCTCTGGCACCCCTGTATTCATTCACCAGGGGCTGAGGAGGGAGGACTACTGTGAGCTGTGCTCCCTGGCTGGACCTCTTACACGGAGCCCTCTGTGGGTGCAGGAAAGTGCCTGTCTTCCATAGGCGCGTCCACTCCTGACGTGGCCCTCCGTGCCGCTGGGCCGGGGGCTGGCGGCCGGGACCCCCGGCTCTGGGCCTCCCAGTTTGGGCCTCAGTTTCCACATCCACAAACCGGGGAGATCCCTTTCTGGAGGCCGAGTGAGCGGGCTCCTCCCCAAAGCAAAGAGAACTCCGAGCCTCGTACTCTTCCCGTCTGAAGTGCGTCTTGCCGTGACCCCTGACCCTCTGTGTCTACGTCTCAGGCCCCCACCCCCGCCCTGCACTGTTCCTCCAGGACAGCGGGGCGCCAAGCCTGAGACGAGCCCCTGCTGGAGATGCGCGCGCCCCTCAACCTGCCCAGCCGCGGCAGCTGAGCGCCTAGGCAGGGCCCTGCTGATAGGAAGTCCGGGCTCCGGGGTTCTGGGCGGCAAGAGCACCTGGGTTTGGAGATGGGGTGGGATGGCACCACAGACCCCTCCCTGGGTCCCCCGAGTCGCCCCCCGCCTGGCCCTGCCCCAGCACAGCCGTTTCCCTCCCTTTTTCTCGCCCTGCCCTCCGTCCCGCTCAGACTTCCCTGTTCCCGGGCTCTGGCTTGCTTGCCAAGTCCCAGCTCCCAAGGCTGGTGTGGATTCCATCCCTTGAAGTCATGGATTGCTCCATTGTTCTGCCAGACAATTATTTATCCCTTAATCCTTGCTGGCCTATATTTTTGTTTCTTGACAAAACTTGAGTTGGATGGGAAAGGAATGCCTCTTTTAAGAGAAAAGTAAACACAATTTTATATTGTTTATTGACCCTAAGGTCCGTGGGAACACCAGCTCCAACAGATCATTCTGCCCTTTCGTGGAAACAAGATTCCAGGGATGTTCTTCCAAAGGGGTAAGTAACTGTCCTACCAAAAAGCCACGGGATCCACTGCTCAGAGTGTTTAGGACCTGGAGCCCGAGGCAGGAGTGAGGGCGCTGTGGTTGGAAGGCCCAGGGGTGGGGATCTGCCGCAGCCCAGAGGGAACCACAGAAGTCACGGCAGGTACGAATCCTGCTCCTGCAACAAGCTGGCTGTGTGCCTGTTCCCATCACCAGGTTCCCTTTCTTATCTGCGAGATGAGGGAGGTGGGATAAATGATTTCTTGGCTCCCTTCCAACCCAGAGCCCTCTAGGAGCGGGGAAGCCCCCTCCTCTGCCTGTAGTCTCAGGGGCCGAGGACATGGCTTCCGAGAGGCAGAGGCCATGAGTCACTTGCCCTCGGCAGCTCCAGGGCAGGGGTGACCCTCCAGTGAGTCATTCCTGTCAGCCCTGAGAAAAGCCATATGGCAGCTTCCCCTCGTATCAGCTCAAACTCAGGGCATTAGACAAAATCGGCCCAGAGGAGCCGTGGGCTGTCGGCCCCTCTGTCAAAATGCCCGACTCCCCAGAAAAACCACCTGAAAGGAGACAGTGAAGAGCCGGCCTTTGGAGGGCTGGTTTCACAAAAGGGAAGGGCAGATCCCAGCCCAGGAAGAGCGAGCGATTGGCTCAGATACATGGATTTGAGTGACCTACTGTGCCGATTTGCCTGAGATCCCTGATTCTCTGTCAGGATTAAGTGTGAAAGGGTGCCCAGGTCTGTCATACTGCAGACACACGCGGGCCCCAGAACACTGGGAATGATGGCAGTTCCCACTTACAGATTACAGACCTTGTGCCTGACACACAGCTAAACACGGGACGTAAGTCATCTTATGCAGTCCCCACACAGCCCTGTAAAGTTGGTGAGGGCATCCTTCTCGTAGCTGAAAAAACAGAGCCTCAGAGGGCCTAAGTAACTTGTCCCACAGCACAGTTTTTATCCCAGTTCTCTATATGCCAGAGCCTCTACTCTATGACCTCCCAGAAGTTGAAGATAGACTCCCTGCCTCCAAGGAGTTTAGGCTCTAAAGATAGACTTATGTGGCCTCAGATGAAAGAAGACCAAATGGACACTTGCCCAGAGGAGGTATAACACCCCTCCTGGGGTGGCACTTACGCTGGGCTTTCCTGAATCTACAGGGGGGCTGTCTCCTGAGCCCCTGCCCCACTGCGGCAGAAAGGGCCCTACACCCATAGTCAAAAGGCTTGAGTTCAAACTGGTAAGAGGTGACCCGGGCAGCTGGAAGAATAGGGTTGACAGAGAAGCTTTCATCCGGACATTTTGAATTTTGACTCATGTAAATGTTTGAACTATCTAAAAATAAATAGTAAATAAATAAATAAATAAATAAAACAGAAATGAATATGCACCCCAAAAGGCCAGTGGTTCATATAAAGCAGAATTTATAACTTCAGCTCACCTAGGCCTTAGCTTCTCCATGTGTGAAATGGGAATAATATGCCCTGTTTAGCCCAAAGTGCTGTTAAAAAGATCAGCGAGGTGATGTGGGTGAATGTGCTGTGAAAGCTGTGAAGCCTTAGAACAAGGATGAGGTGAGAGAGAAAACTCTCCTACTCAGGACCACACTCCCACCTGTGGGCCTAGAGGCATTTAAGTACTAGGTGCTGACTCAGCCCGACCCAGCCCACATTCCGAAGGTTTGTCTTCTCAGCAGCGCCCCTGGCCTTTGAAACCCTTCTCTACCCATCCGGGAACCTGTCTCCTCGCCTGTCACCTGGGGGACGCTCCCCTTCAAGCTGCTCTAGGCCCATCTCCCAGGGAGGGAAGTTCTCAGACAAGCCCACCTACACTGGGTCCCCACTGTCCCTGCTGTGCAGACCCCCCCAGCTGGCTTCCACCTGTGTCTCCAGCTGGTGTCCTGCCCCTCTGCCCTCCCTGGAGGGGCCGAGGGCTCACCCCCCTTACTGGGCCGTACCGCATGACTCACTGTTCCCTGAACACGTCCCAGCCTTCCACCTGCTCCTGCCCCCTCCAGGACTAAAGGCCTTTCTTCCCCGTGCCCCCTGGGAGGCCGGCCCTCCCTTCTAGACCCTGGGCTGTGTTCGGAGCCCTCCAGGTGGCCCCTCTAGCCACCTGCTTTCCTGTGGAGAATCCATCTTCCGTATTCCTGGGTCTCTACGGTGCCAGACTCAGTGATTTGCCCACATTAAATGCACAGTAAACGATCACAGCATTGAATTTTTTATATGAAAGAGTTACTTCAAAGAGTTTTTTTGAAAAAGACCAAAGAATGGATCTCTGAGGGTGGGATTTCAGGCCCAAGGACTGGTGGGTGAGGAGCATGCTGTTTGGACAGTGAATCTGTGCCCCTGGTCCAGGGAGAGCCCTTTTTCCCCGGGTATCCTGCCTCGGAACCAGTGACTCAGGCCGGCTGCTGCCACTGGTCTTCAGGCCAAAGCCTGCCAAGGCCCAGACCCCTGAGGCACTCAGCCTGCAGCGTTCCCGTGCCAAGAGCAATGGGTCTCGCCCTTAAACGTCAACAGGCTCTGATCCACCGCGGATGGGGTGTCTGCGTGCTGTTCCTGTCATAACACCAAACTGGCCCAGAAATCTCCTCTGAGCCCTGGGCGCAGTCTTGCAAGGCGCCAGCCCTGCCCCAGGTGCACACGGTTGCGTGGGCCCTGGGGCAGCCTGGCCTGGCCAGGGGCCCCAGGGATTTTGATCCCCCTGTGAGTCCAGAGGTGACAGGCTTTCTCTCTGACAAAAGGGGGCCGTGGACACACGGGAGCAGAGTGGGCAGGCAGGGATGGGAAGGCGCGGGGGCTGTGATAGGAACCCCGTGGGGCTGCTTCCTTTTTCTTAGGCAGCATTTTCCACCTCCCCTGCGAGAGGTCACCTTGTCAGCCATCTGGGTCAGGGTCCAAAGTTAATTGTGGATTTGCCACATAGAAATTTCCATAGAATTGGAAAACGAGTTCTTTCCAAATTAGCACATTGCTCTGGGGCTTCCAGATCCATCCGGCACTTTGCTCCGGGCTTTGGGGTTCTCAGCAGCATCCCGCAAGCCCGCCTGACCCATCTCTGCTCATGGTAATCCTACCCATCCTTCAAGGGCCATCAAACTGAGCCAAAATTCAAGCAATAATAACTAAATACTGAGAATGCTGTATGCCAGGCATGACCCCACGAAGTTGGTTTTTTTGTTTGTTTGGGGATTTTTTTGGCCACACCGAGAAACTTGCAGGATCTTAGTTCCCCGACCAGGAATTGAACCCGGGCCCTCAGCAGTGAAAGCCCAGAGTCCTAACCGCTGGACCGCCAGGGAATTCCTGTGAAGTGGATATTAAGAGTCCCATTTTACAAGCAAAGACATTGAGGCTCAAAGAGATTAACTGCCCAAAGTCACCAGACACTGCGGGATGGTCCCAGCTCCCAAATCCTACACCTGAGTTCTCCCTTCTCTAGACCAGTGGTTCTCAAAGTATGGTCCCTAAAGCAGCAACTGCAGCATCACCTGGGAACTTGTTGGAAATGCAGATTCTCAGATTCTACCCTAGACCTGCTGAATCAGAAACTCGGGGTGGTACCCAGCCCTCTGTGTTTTAACAAGCCTTCAGGGGAGTCTGATGCACCTCAAGTGTGAGGGCCATTGGTCTACATTGCACTGCCACACTGAGCTCGTTACCAACGCCTCACATGCTTACCATCTTCTAAGCTCCGTGCTAGACACTTCCATCGACTGTCACTGAGTTCTTTTAACAACACCTGTTTTACAGATGAGAAGGTCAAGGCTTAGGACAGTTCCGTACTTTTGCCTGGGATCACCCAGCTGTTGAAAGTAGAGTTGGGATTTGAACCCAGGCAGGCTGTGGAGCCTGTGTCCTTTTTTTTTTTTTTTTTTTCTGGCCGTGCCACACAGTATATAGGATCTTAGTTCCCCAACCAGGGATCAAACCCAAACCCCCGCAGTAGAAGCAGAGTCTTAACCACTGGACCACCAGGGAAGTTCCAAAGAGCCTTTGTCCTTAACCATCACAGTCTTTAGTCCCTGGAAGCGTAGGTCCTGAAACCCCTCAGAGGTGGACCCTGAAGGATGCAGAGGGCATCTCTCCAGACCTCCCCACTGAATGGCGAATAAAACCAATTTATTCGTTTGGCCCCAGCCGCACATGCCAGCAGCTCCCGTCCCCAGTGCCGGGTCATGCCCACCACGTGCCTGTTTACAGGCCCTGACACGTTTATCCTTAGACCCTCTTCATGTCTTCACTCAAACATTTACTGAGCCTTCCTTGGTTTTGTAGAACCTTAGATTTTGCGGCGGAACCTGTGTCCAGATAGGAAGCCTACACACGGGTAAGTGAAAACGACTCTCGGAACAATTCATCGTAAAGCAAAATATCAACATTCCACGTGATGGTGCGTGTGAGTTTTGTACGTTCCCACGAGAGGATGTGTTTGCAAAAGGCGAGCATTACTTCCTTGGAACCTCGGGCAATTAGAATGAGAAGCAGTGAGCGTTGTGCCGACAGTCCCTGGCTCCAGTCCAGGGGAGCACACCTCATCGGGAGATCACATCTGTCACGGAGATGGGAAAAGGGAAGGTGGTGAACTTCCCACCCCACCCAGCCGTGCGCAGACCTGCCAACATCCTGTGTGTTCTCCGTTCCTAGCATGTGCTGGGCAGCGAGGACACCACGAGATCGCCGCCTTCCCGACACCCTGTTCCCCTAATCCCCTAAAATGCCAAGGACTAGTAGAGCACCAAGTGCATAAAGGGGGAAGCATAAGGGAGATAAAAAGACCTCTTCAGTCCCACCCCAGTAGATAAGCTTGACGGAAACAAGGACTTTATCCGTCTTGCTCATGGCTGTATCCCAGAGCCCGGCACCTAGCCTGACGAGCCAACGATGGCTCTGGCACCCCTGTATTCATTCACCAGGGGCTGAGGAGGGAGGACTACTGTGAGCTGTGCTCCCTGGCTGGACCTCTTACACGGAGCCCTCTGTGGGTGCAGGAAAGTGCCTGTCTTCCATAGGCGCGTCCACTCCTGACGTGGCCCTCCGTGCCGCATCACAGCCTCAGCGCGTGTGCATGTGTGTGCATGTGTGTGTGCATGTGTGTCCGTTGTCCCTGGTGTCGGCGCTGCCAGGGGCCGGGCATAGACAGGCAGGCGCAGAGGATCACAGCCTCAGCGCGTGTGCATGTGTGTGCATGTGTGTGTGCATGTGTGTCCGTTGTCCCTGGGGTCGGCGCTGCCAGGGGCCGGGCATAGACAGGCGGGCGCAGAGGATGGGAGACGCTGTTGCTTTCACTGGAAGAAGCCCAGCCGCAGCTCCGCGTGGGTGGGATCAAGATGGTGAGGCGTCCCCAGGGCACTGGGTCCCAGATAGCAAAGCCAGGTGCAAACAGCCCTCAGGGTCGGCCAGCCCAGAGCCTGCCTGCCAGGATTCCTGCCGCCCCCGCCGCAGCCCCAGGAGTCACCTGCTCTCCCGCTAGGCCCAGCAGACCCCTCTTCCTGCCCCAACTCCTGCACCCTGAGAGGCAGCTCTGGTGTCGTGGGCCAGGGTCTGGGGGAGATGAAGGTCAGCAGACGGGTGACCCTGGGCTGGGAGCCAGCTGCCATTTCTTTCCCTGGTGACCTCGAGCAGCTCCCACAACCCCACTGCTTCCCAGCCACCTCTTTGGCAAAACGAGAGGATGCCGGCCCCTCCTTCGCTGTGAGGGGCTAGCGTGTGGTGGAAGGGGTGAGCCGCTGCCAGGCTGCCAGACCCTTGGCTGAAGAGCCGTGAAAGCCCCAGGCCCGTTCTCAGCCAAGCCCCACGGCATCCTCTGGAATGAGCCAGCCGTGATGCTGACCCTGCTGGGCAGCCCGAGCTCCAGAATGCTTCCAAAGGTACAGCCTCTCTTTCCATAGCTGTGTTTATCCAGCCCTTACCAGGTTCCAGGCCTTCTTCTAAGTGTGTTTATGCACTATCTCATTTGCTTCTCATAGACCTTAAGAGGGGAAATGCAGGTTCAGAGAGATTAAGCAACTTGCCTGAGGTCACACAGCTAGAGACAGGGGAGTCAAGATTTGAACCTGGGTCTGTCTGAGGCCAGAGCTCTCGCTCTTGACCACTATTGTTCTGTAAGCCTCTGGTCAGCTCTCGTTCTTTTGCCACCTTCGTGGAAGGCCAGGGCCCTGAGGAAATCTTTCCTCTAGTGCCTAACTCAGTATTTGGCTAGTAGTGTGAGCTCAGGAAGGAGGGAGGGAGGGGGGAGGGAAAGAAGGAAGGGAGGCGGCCGGTCCTGCCCTTAGCCACCAGCCTGGACTCAGGCTGGAAGCCCCTTTCCACTGCCCAGTGTGTTGCCCAGGCAGCAAGGCAGTTGCTGGGTCACTGCTGTGCCCTCACTTTTTCTAAAAATACAAACAGACAAGCCCTCCAAGGCCACCAACAGATATCCAGTTGCTCTCTAGGGTCACTGCTGTGTGGCCCGATCCTGCCACCTGCTCCCTCTGGGCCCCTGCCTGACAGCTGACCCCGTATCCCTGTGACTGTTTACTGCCAGGCAAAGTCCAGATTTGCAGAGGTGGGAACTCTGAGCCACCGGGCCTGGCCCGGCCCCGCCCGTGCTGAGCTGGGGGACACCCAGGCAGTTCCGGGGTGTTTTCCCTGAAGCCCAGTCCGAGCAAACCCTTCTTGGCTGGGGCTCCGTTCCCATGGCCATCAGCCCCTCCGGCCCCTGTGGAGTCTGAGTAGCAGCCGGGTTCAGGGATACAGACACCAGCCTCAGAGTCAGGACACCAGAGTCAGGCCCCAGCACTACCCCTAGCAGCTGTATGACCTGCGACCTCTGTTAGCCTCCTGTAAAACTGGGAATAGTAAGATTACAAAGCAGTGACAGTGTTATCCTGTTTTGAAAGGTATATATTACGTACGGAGGTAAATCTCATGAGATATGGACTAAAATGTTAACAGTGTCATCTCTAGGCCCTAGGATTTGAGGTGTCCTTGTTCTCTGGGCTTTAACTGCATTTCCTAATTTTTCCTCCAGGAATATACTCAGTGAAAGAAAAAATGTTAGAACAACAACCCACAGTTGGTATTTGGAGGATTCATCTTGACTTGCAAGACAGTTTGAGGAGAAAGTTAATGAAAGCGGGTTTTAAACTTTAAAGGGCTTTGCAAGTGTCGGGGGTTCTTAATACCATTTCCTGCAGGGCATTTTGGCACTGGAACCCCAGGGGTGGGCAGGGAATAGTCCTTCCACCTCCGCACCAGGAAACCCTGGCCTATCCTTCCTTCCTCACCAGGTCGGAAGGGGAGAGAATGATGGTCCATGTGATGCCTTGGCTGAGGACAGGCACGGCCATGTGGTGCAGTGCCCCAGCCTGCTCTGTGCATGAGTCAGCAGCATTGATTGAGCACCCACTGTGTGCACTGCCCTGCACCCTGTTCTGAGAAAGTAGCTCTGTTTGCTTTCCTCAGTCAACAGACGTTTATCGAGCATCCTCTGTTTTGAGGAAGTCAGAGTACAGAGGGCACAGCCTGGGGGTGAGGAGTCTGGGATGAGTTACAGAAAGAGGTGGGTGCCTTGTGAGAGAGACAGATGAAGTGGGAAACAGGAGACCACCCACTTAGGGAGGTTGGAGGAGAATTTGTGGGCTTGTATGCCGTCTCAGCTCATCTTGAGGGACTAGAAGAGTCCTTCAGGGTGTCCTTCCTCTGGAGATCAGAGTCCTGCCTTGGGAACCAGTACCCTAATGGAGAGACTGGTGAAAGTTTCAAAGTGGGTGTTCATATAATACTTTGCAGGTCCAGTACAAAATGAACCTGAGGGCCCCTAGTTCAAACTGTATTAGGAGGGACTACCCTGGTGGTCCAGTGGTTAAGACTTCACGTCCCCAATCCAGGGGCATGGGTTTGATCCCTGGTCGAGGAGCTAAGATCCTGCATCCCGCATGGCAGCAGAAAAAAAAAAAAAGAAAAAAAAAGTGTGAAGAATTTTAAGATGGTAATGACATTAAACCAAGCACGGGCCCTTTCTCAGTGCTGACCCTTCTGAGCAGGCCCCTTGAAGCCAGCCCAGTCTGCTAGTAAGTGCAGGGAAAAGGTTTAAGGATTTCTGTCGCCAAGAGGACCACCGCCCTTGGGAAACGCAGTGACTCTTCACTGCATCTTGGGTTAAGGTTGGCCTCCAGAGGTGAGATAACCTGCCAGATCTGGTTCTGTACTTAGCTCTTCCTGTTGGTGGCCAGTGGCATTTTCTGCCTCTCTTAAATAACGGTACCAGAAAGGCCAGGGGCTCCTAGCTCCTTTCCCAAGTGCCGGGACTGGGGAACAGCAAAGAACGCAAACACAGGTGCCTTCCATGGCGGAAGTGGCAGGAAATTCTTCTCATGGGAAATGCCGGCCTCACTTTAAGGTGTTCAGCCCCAAACCAACCGTGCACACTTCTGTTTGCCAGCAGGGCATCAGTTTCAGCCCTGTGCCCGACCCTCTTTTTTTACCAAAGAGGAAACCGAGAACCAGAGAAGGCAAGGGACCCGTCCAAGGTCACATGACCAGCCAGTGCTGAAACTGGAACCCAGGTTCCTGAACTCCCACCAAGTGCCCTTCCTGCAAAGGAGCCCTACGCATTGGACTGTGGGTGCCAGGCTCAGGGGCTGCCCTCCGCAGTGGTCTTCAGACCTCCAGGACTCTGCTCCCCTGAGGCAACCCCTGCCGCCCACTGGGCTCTAGCGGTGTGGAGAGGAGTTGAGGTCCGGATGCTCGCTGCGCTTTCACCCTTAATCTGAGCAGATGGTGGAATTGCCAGGGATGGAGAGGGCCCACACTAGCGTCTGAGGAAAACAAGGCCAGAAGTGCCTGCGGGCAATTTCTAACCTGCTACCGAAACCTGTCAGGGGAGGAGGCTCAGCCCCTTCACGTGTGGGAGCTGTGTCAGGGTTAAAGGGTGCCGGAGTAGAGCCCTGATCTGGGTCAACAGCAGGACTAGGAGAGTCGGGTGGAGACGCAGGTGACCAGGAAGGGGTGCAAACATGGAGGCCTGGGTCCCTGCGAAGCTGCCCCACTTCAGGGAGCAGGGCGGAGCCCCAGGGAAAGCAGCGGCCTAACCCACAGTGAAACCCCCAGGCAGGAACAGCTGCCGTCACCAGTTAGCAGCAGAAAGTACCCGAGGACCTCAGATGTTTACGTTGTACAGGACAGGATGTTCGCACATGTGTAATCGTGTAGAACTTGCACGGCTGCCTAAGGACACAGGCTGAGGCTGCATTTTAAGGATGAGCGAATGAGCGCAGAGGAGTGAAGTCACTTCCTTAAGACCATCTGACAAGTTAAGTCCTGGAACTGAGAGAGAAGCCAGATTTC